GGTTGCGATCCGTTGCCGGACACGGAAAAAGACAAAAAGACAAAAAAAAAAAAAAAAAATTGTTAGAACTTATAAACTAATTCAGTGAAGTTTCAGAATACAAATATCAAAATACAAAAATCAGATATGTTTTCATAAACCAATGGTGAATAATCTGAAAAAGAAATCAGGAAAACTATCCCACTTACAAAAGCTGCAAGAAAAATAAAGTACTAAAATACCTAGCAATCAATTAAACCAAAGAGCTAAAAGATCTCTACAATAAAAACTGTAAAACAGTGACAAAAGAAGCTGAAATAAAGAAATATATTCCATTGCCATGGACTAGAAGAATTTGTATTGTAAAAGGTCCATTTTTTTTTTTTGATATTTTTCAGTATAAAAATCAAGCACATAATGATTAATAAACTCAACAGAAAGATTCAAAATAAACAATTTGTGACATTTTTCAGGATAAAAATCAAGCACATAATGATTAATAAACTCAACAGAAAGATTCAAAATAAACAATTTGTACAAATCAAGATCTCTTAAACAATTACAAATATACAGTATTTACTAGTCTTTACCTGAGTTAATCATTTCATAAAGCCCTCATAAAGTTACTCATCATCAAAAATAAAATTCTACATACATGGGAATTAAATTTAGAAAAAAACATTTCTTATAATTAAATGTAATTAATCATTGCTAAAATGTCAAAACAGTAACACATTTCAGAGAATATATATGCAATGATTTTTAAAGTTCTAGTGAGACATGCTGTAAAATGTAGCTAAGCAACATATTAACACTGGTCACTTACACAACATAGTTAAGATTATAGTAAGATAAATTATATACATATGATGATATATATAAATGTTTGAACACATAATTTTCTTCCAGAGAATTATAGAATATTTGCCGCTATTAATTCTTTCTGTTACATTTATTTACAAATTGATAACGTTAGTAGACAATATATTTGATATTTAAATGGCTCAACAGGACTGAACCATATATGATGTACTTTTATATACATTATTGCATTTAAAAATCTATAATTTTTAATAACAAACCTCAAAAGTATTAAAATAAAGGAAATTTCTTCTTTCTTAATTGTTGGACCCTGTTATCAGATTAATTTCCTAAAATTCTGCTTTCTTCTTGTTAGTACCCTATGCATCAATATTCAGTGGCTTCCCATTTCCTACAGAATGAAGTTGAACTCTTTATTCTGACATTCAAAATATTCCACAATTTGGCCTCTAACTTTATTTCCAGGCCACGCTCTTCACTGACCCAGTCTCAGCAAAGCTCATTTCCCCCGAGCTTGTGTTTTGTTCCTCATCTTGAATGCGCTTCCTTTTCCTTTCTTCAAATCCTATGATCTTTAAAAGTTCAGTGCAACCCCCCCTCCCCTGTGTAATCTTCCCGTAGCTTCTCTTGCCCTCCCTGACCTTGTCTTCACCCTCACTTTGGCTCTTAAACATCCACTATTATGTCTTTTCAACCAAATTGGAAATTCCTTAATTGGTGTCTTTGGTGTCTAGCACAATCCTGAGAATTATAAAATTTGACTGAGTATAAAATTATAAGCATATGCTAGTATCACCTTAATTACTTCTGGCTTATTTTATTTTACTCTTATAGTTTTCCTTTCCATCTACAGAAACAGCATAACCAACGGCCAAGGTTACTGTTGCTGAAGTGTCTGCCATCCTCTTCCAAAGCTGACTCATCTTGATCGGCACCGTTTAATGCATGATCTTCACTGTGCAACTGAAATATATGGAGTCTGGAATTTTCTTCAAACCAGGGACTAATCCTCTTTAATTTTATCAAGTCTTAGGTAAGTTTCTGTCTTTTTTGATAAATGTATTTGTTACAGGTAGATTGTTTCCCTTTTAAGAGACTATTTTCAATCAGTTTCTCTGAAAATATAGAGCTTTAAAATAAACAGCAAAGTCTTCCTTTCATTGGATTTGATGTTTTTCCTTTTTCTCTGCTTTCTCTAAGCATAGGGAGAGGAAGTATAGAAGTGGAAGGATATGTGCTTTTAAAAGGCCACCCTGGGCTAGAGGTAGACAAGCAGAAATTATGGTGCAAGCTTCCTCTACTGCACTGGCAATTTAGCTTTGCTTAAGACTGTTGTGCTTGAGCCCCGAGTTTACCAATCCAAGGCAAATGTAATCCAAAATGGGTATGGTTTTCTTCTTCCATATAACAGTAGCAACCATTTATCAAACACCTACTATATGTCAGACACAGTGTGGGTTACTTTATATATTACCTAAACATCCATTTTACAGAATAGAAAACAGGCTTAGACACACTAAGTAACTGGAACTAGTAAGTGGCAGAGCTAGAGTTTGGATGCAGAACGGATTTGAAAACCTATTCTCTTTTTGCTACACCTTGCAATGTCAGTTCCTCTTACTGGCAGGAAGTCTTGGGGAATGATGGGGCTTATATTCATAATTCTGGCAGCTATAGGGGAGGACAGAATAATAATCTAATGTTCTAATGTATCTGGGGAGGCTCATCAACACCCCTCCCCTACATATAGTTGCTCCAGGCTTAGGTATGAGATGTTCTTCACTCTGTAATTTATCTCATTGTACACTAAACTTATCACTGTCCCTTTTGTTATGGAACATCTGATCACTTATGTTTTGGTAGGTGGGGATGAGAGCAGAGAGGTTTTTACCTTTGTCAAGCCCAGAACAAAAACACCATGAAATAAATCAACAACTAGCAGCCAACAAGTATGAGCTCTCTTTGATGCTGAAAGAGGCTCAAAATGCCAAAAAGAACCTAGAAAAAGAACAGATGCACATACTGCAAGCAAAGGAGAGTTTGAATGCTGAATTTAAGAAATGTTGTTCTGAAAAGAACATTTTGCTGAGGGATGGCTTGACCCTTCAAGAAAAGTGTCAGAAATTAAATGAGGAGATCCATGAAATGCAGCTGTCCTTAATCTGGGAAAAAAGAAGCCAGAGCTAAAGAAAATGAGTCATCCTTGTGTGAAAACAATAAAATTCATGGGAGAATGGTGCTGCTGGAGCAGGAGGTGGAGGAGTTAAGAGTATGTACTAAGGAGCTCCAGTCTGAGAAGTCTGTGCTAATCCAATAGAAAACCAAATTGGAACAGAAGATGGTAGAGATAATAAAGAAAAAGGAACTCCTGAGTGTAGCAACAGCCCAACTTGCTACCAGCATAGAGACTATGAAAAGCGATTTTGCTGTCTTGTCCGAATCCAAGTTTGCAAGAACTGCATAGCTACCTCACCAAGATTCTGAATGACCTTAAGTTGAACCATGAGGTGACCCTGGCCGAAAGTGCCCAGGTGATGCAAGAAAATAAGAGCCTCCTGGCTGAGAAAAGGGAGATGATGCTGCAGAAGGACGAGCTCCTAACGGAGAAGGAAAACCTGGCGGAAAGCTACTTCCTCCTTCAGAAAGAGATTAGCCAGCTGGCCCAAACCAACAGCCACATTTCAGGCAATCTCCTAGAATCTCAAAATGAAAATCGTACTTTGAGGAAAGACAGGAGCAAGCTTACTCTTAAAATTAGAGAGACTGAGACTCTTCAGTCATTTACGGCCACTCAAACAGCAGAAGATACTATGAAGATAATGGAACAGAGGACCAAAGAGAAGACTGAAACTCTGGCCTCTTTGGAAGATACCAAGCAAACAAATGCAAAACTACAAAATGAATTGGGCACACTTAAAGAAAACAACTTGAAAAACGTGGAAGAGCTTAACAAATCAAAAGAACTTCTGACTGTAGAGAATCAAAAAATGGAAGAATTCAGGAAAGAAATAGAAACCCTAAAGCAGGCGGCAGCTCAGAAGTCCCAGCAGCTTTCAGCATTGCAAGAAGAGAACGATAAACTTGCCGAGGATCTGGGGAGAAGCAGGGACGAAGTCACAAGTCATCAGAAGCTGGAAGAAGAAAGATCTGTTCTCAATAATCAGTTGTTAGAAATGAAAGAGAGAGAATTCAAGTACATAAAAGACACAGATGAAGAAAAAGCTTCCTTGCAGAAATCCATCAGTGTTACTAGTGCCTTACTCACAGAAAAGGATGCAGAGCTGGAAAAACTGAGAAATGAGGTCACAGTGCTCAGGGGAGAAAATGCCTCTGCCAAGTCCTTGCATTCAGTTGTTCAGTCTCTAGATTCTGATAAGGTGAAGCTTGAGCTCAAGGTAAAGAACTTGGAGCTTCAACTCAAAGAAAACAAGAGGCAGCTCAGCAGCTCCTCAGGTAATACTGATACTCAGGCAGAAGAAGATGAAAAAGCCCAGGAGAGTCAGATTGATTTCCTAAATCTAGTAATAGTGGACCTTCAAAGGAAGAATCAAGACCTCAAGATGAAGGTAGAAATGATGTCAGAAGCAGCGAGCCCAGGAGAGTCAGATTGATTTCCTAAATCTAGTAATAGTGGACCTTCAAAGGAAGAATCAAGATCTCAAGATGAAGGTAGAAATGATGTCAGAAGCAGCCCTTAATGGGAATGGGGATGACCTGAACAATTATGACATTGATGACCGGGAGAAACAGTCCAAGAAGAAACCTCGCCTGTTCTGTGATATTTGTGGCTGCTTTGATCTCCACGACACTGAGGATTGTCCTACCCAGGCACAGATGTCTGAGGACCCTCCCCATTCCATGCACCAGGGCAGTCGGAGCGAAGAATGCCCGTACTGTGAAATCTGTGAGATGTTTGGGCACTGGGCAACCAACTGCAATGATGATGAGACCTTCTGATAAAGCCTCAAGTCAAGAACTGGCTTTCTCAGATGCACTAGCATTTAAGCAATTTACCACCAGCGTTGTATGTGCATACTTCAGGAGAACTCGTGTTATTTTTGGCCTCCATCAACAAATCTAGAAAATATTTTGATGTCCAACAAT